GGCGTAGAATCCAACCTAATCGCTCCAGTTGCAAACTACCGTGATACAAGAAAGGTTGTTAGTGTATTTAAGATATACACAGTTCGTATTGGCTTGGCATTGTGAAGATGAGCCAAAAATGGCACCGTGCAGCTTTAAAGCGAACAAACTCCAAGAGAATCGAACAATGGGCTCACTTCCCAAGACGCCATTCCAATCACTGGAAGGTACAACCTGCTAATGAAAAACAAAATCAAACGGTGTACAAAGACAAGCATTTTAATAGTGAAACTATTTTCCCTGATAAGCCACTTACGGAAATTTAACGGCTTCATATTTATCTTGCGGGTAATTTGCATTTGGTTTGGCTTTTATGACACGAATACGTCCAACAAGAGATGTAAGATCGTCTTTATATGTACCTTTGACAAGTTTAGTACGGTTGAAATCGGCAACGATGAAATTGCGCCTTTCATTACTGCCTTTATTACCTAGTAGAACTGATTTAAAATGCTCAATTTCAGAAAGGGGTTTATCTTTTACATCATCTGCATATTTAAGATTTGCTAAAATTGTTTGGGTACCATTAGTTGACTGGCTAAGCCGATCATTCATTTTGGTCTCTTCACCGAGACAATTCTGCCAAATTTCAGATTTCAGATCCTCGCCGACTTGCACTAGAGCACGAGTCAAATCTTGGATACGATCATCGACGTCTTGACAGGCTTCATCCCCGGACTTTCGAATTTCTCGTATTTTCACCTTGACTTGCTGTGAATACAGATTAAATCGGGGCAATTGTTTCTCAAGATCTTCTTTTGCAGACTGAAATTCTTCCATACATTCTGGATATCTTTCTTCAAGAGTCGCCATCTTGTGTGGTTTGTGGGTTGTCAGGCAGCATCGATGACAAACTAATTGCTTACAATCTAAACAGTAGTTTTCTACAACGTCGTCATGAGCATGACAATATTCTTTTACTGATGTAAGCCTACTTTCACTTTCAGTTGTCTCTGTCGCCTCGCCTTTAACATTAATATCCATCCTACACATTGGACATGGGAAACATTCCTCGTCTTTGAATTGCTTTTCATAATCAGTTACACATTCTTCACAAAATTTATGACTACATTCTAAAGTTCGTGGTTTCATACATTCACTTAAACAGATACTGCATGTATTTTTCGATTGCGACATTACAATTGATGTCCTTACAGCGTGTATAAAACTAGGCCAAGTTCGTTTAACTGTGTCTTGTTATAGTAGTCTACTTCACACAAAAATTGAATTATGCGTGTCCTTGATAAGCGAGACCCAAAATACAAATAATATACCTAACCATTAGAAATCGGGGGAAGCTCGATTGGTGAATTCTGTACGTTCGGGATTTACAGAATTTGAAATAGTGGGTAAAGGAATAGAAATAAAAATTTTGAATGTGACATTATCTGGTTTCGCGCCGTTCGATATAGACCAGAATTAGAACAGACGGATTTTACTAGTCATTTCGCCTTATTTTGCCTAAATAACATCCAGTTCATGCCCTGAATTTCTGTGTACTATTAAATAAAATTTAATCGCTGTGTCTATTGATACAACTAGAAATATAGTTTACAGAGCTATTTATTTAAACACGCAATTACTATATAGGTCAACATCATGAGACAAATTTATGCCCGGCCAAAATGCAAACAGATTGTCCAGAAGTTCGCTATATAACATAACATCTATGACTATAGTGTGAATTATCATCCTTAAGTCCCTTTGGAGACCCTATTTACACATTCTAAATACATGTATTGATGATCAAGATAATAGTCGGATTTTTATTAACTCCATCAAAGTTCTCTGGATTTTCTTTGTTGATGTACCCTCAGAGAATCTTCGACCTTCAATAGCACCGATTTCATCCATAAATATAATACAGGGTAGAATTTTTTTACACTTTCTAGATCAGGCCCGTAGCAACGCAGGGGAGCAAAGGAGACCAATTCCATTACTGTCCCTCCAGATATAGCACTTGCCCCAACCAAAACTGTTATTTTGGCTTTCGAGCTTCGTTTTGCGGTTCGAATCGTTTGTACATATTTTTGGGTTTTTTTTCTTATAAAAAACATCAAATTATTGCTTCACAAATTGCAATATTCTTCCTATGGCCTGCTCATACTAAAGTAAAAAAATATCCTATCTTATCTTATTGCTTTTGCACTAAAAGTCATCTTATATTGAGTTAATATACCATTAGAACTAATTCATATTTTTAGCTACTTTTCCTCGTTAGAGCCACAATGTTATTTCTGCAAATAGACTGTTCCCGTTTCGGCTACTTATTACATCGTATTTTAAGATCAGGACCTTAACAGGTGGTTTGTTGTACAGATCTACCCCACAACCAGGGAAGGTGTCGTGGGGTGGTAAAAGTTTCTTTGCTTATATTTCTATATGATACGTCTTCTCTATGCCGTAATATTCTCTTTTTCCTCCTCGTTTGACGCACATCGTTTCAGAAATTGAAACACATTGATAATGTCTGGTATAATAATCACCACAAATGTCATGGTAAAAATAAAAATAGCCGTAGAACCAACATAAGTTGCAGAAGGACGGGGGTCATCGGCGCTGGTGAGCCGTCGAATAGTGCTGGATAGCACAGCAGTTGAAATGTATAAACCTTTCGTTAAATTTTCGATTTGTTCCTGCAATGCATCGTTTGAAATATTAAAGATATTTTTACGGAAACAACGACAAAGACAGTCACCATTTGTGCTGTTGGCGAAGCCTACAGATGTGGATGGATTCGGCGTGGTAGATGGGTAGTTAGTGCTTATGGGACTTGATGATCCAGGATAACTGGTAATCGAGATTTCGGACGACGAGGTGTATGACAGTTGCATATCAAACGATGATGAGGATGGTTGTAAATCAGAGGATGGTTGTAAATCAGAGTTCAATGAGGACTGTTGTAAATCAGAGTTCATTGAGGACTGTTGTAAATCAGAGTTCATTGAGGACTGTTGTAAATCAGAGTTCATCGAGGACTGTTGTAAATCAGAGTTCAATGAGGACTGTTGTAAATCAGAGTTCAATGAGGACTGTTGTAAATCAGAGTTCAATGAGGACTGTTGTAAATCAGAGTTCAATGAGGACTGTTGTAAATCAGAGTTCAATGAGGACTGTTGTAAATCAGAGTTCAATGAGGACTGTTGTACACCAGAGTTCAATGTGGACTGTTGTACATTTGAGTTCAATGAGGACTCTTGTGCATCCGAGTATGATGGGGAAGGTTGTAAATCAGATAATGATGAGGTTGGAGGTGTATCGAAGTATAATGAGGACGATTGTAAATCGGAATTAAGTGAGGACGGTTGTAAACCAACAGTCGATGTTGATTCACAAGAGGTTAAACTTATGTAGCTTGGTAATACGTCGTCCATCTCTGAAAATATACAACCAACAATGAATATCAAGTATTCTAGTCAAGCATGGTTGCCCGTCTATCAATAAAAAGTTTTGAACGCATCCCTCGAAACATTTGGAATTAAAAATTGTACGCATTTCCGTATTTAACCTTATACAAAGGATCATATAATTTCATATAAATGTCATAAGGTATTCAATTTGAATTATTGACGGCACTCATGAAATGAAGGATGAAAGGATAAAGTTATCTTTAGGTGGATTGGTCATTTTTCATTACCAATACTGAAAGCAAAATTCCTCTCGTCCATCGGGTTTTTCTTTGACAATTTACTGTAATGGTGTTAGAAATGTAAAAATATATTTTAAATCGAGAATGGAGAGTCTTCTCTATTCCTGAGGACCAAAATAAGACGGATGTACTTACTGCATAAAAAGGATATTCTGATCCAATTAGGGCTATGAAGTAAAGTAAAGGCGAAGATATCGGAGTAGTTGTCGTCGTTGTCACAGTAATACTGTACTGTTATATCATCAACAGTCTGGTTGTACTTCTCTATTTTATCACCCGTCCGTAAATCCCACAAATGCATATACTGAAGATGCAGTGGATTGTTAGCAGAGCAGTTGCACAATTCTAGATGATAAAATTTTGTGGCTGAAATGAAATGAAAAGGAGTTTTACATCCTACTACACTTCACTTATTAAGGTTAATGAAAATGTACATTTCGGCCTGTCCTATCGATGGCATTGACAACGAAGAACCGGGATTAAGATTGGGAAGGTAGATACTTTGGCAAGGCAAAAGAAACGTCATTCCTGAGCAAATCTTCAAACTTCTCAATATATTCTGTGGTAAAAAAACTCGTATAAAATATTCCACTGCTTCTTTTTGTTACCTTCACAGTCAATTTGGCTTTACTTTCATAGTTTTATTAGAAAATAAATGTATGTATATATAAAACATTCACATAACGTTTCTGTTTCCTTTCAGTATACATTGCACCCCAAATGGTTCATAAACAATAGCAACAATAAATTGACTAAGATTCCTTGTTGACGGAGAGCAATGTATAAAGTATTTAATCCGTTAGTGTCAATAAAGTATTTTGTATCTTATGGACAGTCGCAAGAGATATACAGTTGACTAAATTTACTTTTGATATAGCACTATAGACCTTTAACTAAGTGAGCAAAACTTTACGAGCACATCAAAATATAGTTCTTCAAGACCAGAGGCTTTATTCTGGAAAACTTAACCTAAACTAAGTTTAGTGTTCCAGTCATCTAATTGGTCAATGACTAAAATTGATTTTAAGTTAACTTTTGCTATCCAATCAGATTACTGTATTTGTTAAAATCTGGATTTCATTTAAATTTAGTTTTGGGGAATATGGTCCCACAGCTTTTATGGGCAATGTATTTTCTATTGAAAGAGCAAAACATGAAAGAATATGGCTGTATAATCTCGCAAAATTCTATTCTATCCTACCGGAAAACGGAAAGCAAGCCGCTTGATTTAGATTTAGCCATTCAACATTTTGCGGATATATTACTGCGTTGATGAGCTAATGATGTTAATTGAGCAAAATTATGACGGAAAGGGGTAATTATCGAGATGTACTGTCATGTTATAACTACCACTTCATCAATACCAATGTGTTAATGAATGGGCGATAGGAGATATAAGTTGACAGCGTTTAATTAGCACGTTTCCTGAGAACATTGTGGTATTAGGGTTTGTATTGAGTCTCTATAAAAGCACTGACCTATTTTATAGAACAATATATAAGTTTACTGATTATGTGAAAATTAGAGGTTTGTGTTATATACTTTCAACGACGTCCAAAAAATAATGAAGTAAACTGTACAACATAAGAAGAGACTTTTAAACAAACGGAAAGTAACCAACACATACATTGCTCAAAGAAAAAACCGTTATATTCGTACCAAACCACAATCATAACTCTAAAAGCCAAGACAAACGTTGAAATGGATTTACTTACGGCATGTCGGAACTGTACATCTTCCGAATTTGTTTGAAGCCGTATAGCACCAAGGCGAATCTTGGCTCTTCCCGGGATTGCGACAATAGGCTTGACTTCTATTATCGTGCGGGAAAGCTAATCCAGAAAAGAATCTATCATAACCATCTTTCTCGTCCCAACTGCGACAGCGTTGTCCATCGGTGGTGAAATCTAGATTACCAACATAGTCAAAACCGTCTTCTCGTTCTGAACATATTGTCTCTGTAACAAGAAAAGGATAAAGTGATTGAATTTATATTTTTCAAAATGTTTGGTGCATGTATTTTGAAGGCCTCCATGGTATATCATTTGTGCTCTTTTTCTACGACCAGTGGAAACTTGTCGAAACGTCATGTTTAAGAAGTCAATTGATCGAGCCCATAAAGACTCATGTTCTTGGGCTGAACTTTATTCTCTTGATGCGATCCATTAAAACTTGCTAAATTATAGATTTAAGGCAAAAAAGCGAAAAGCATACATACCACATCTCACTACCGGACAGAACTCCCAGTCCGAGTAACCATCGATAAAACACCACGGTCTACTTTTATCAAACGATCTACAATAATTGTCATGGCTAAAACCTGCGACAATCCAAGGATCACAAGCACGACCAGATAGAGCATAGTTTATTTTCCCTTTGTAGTCTGTAGTATCATCAGTTCGATAGCATTCTAGAGCTAGAAAGTAAATCAATGAAATTATTGTTTTGTTTTGCTGATTAATAGGTCTCTGTAAGTTCTGAATGGCTGCAAATTCGTACCAGGAGAGTTACCAGGGAACATGGATAACCTGCTAATATTATATGTTTGACCTACTGGATAATAGTCATACATTATAAAGCAAAAAATTACAGAAAAATTTCCCTTTGACCATTCTTAGTACAAATTCCGATTGAAACGTTGTTTCGGGTCTCTACAGACAATGTCATGGTGTCAAATCTTCTCCTAGAAAAGAATCTAGCACATCAAGAGCTTGCTTGTTTTGATTTTACTCACAATTTTCTTCGCTCCAATCATATCCAATCACGGCGATTTCACACACATTCACTGATAAAGCGCTTGAATTAGTCTTTCGGAATACGATAGATGTGGCCAAGTTATAATTGCAGAGGTATGACTGTACGTTTCCAACATCACCAGAATCGTACAGAGTCGTACATGGTTGTTCTTCCCCATTGTATAAAGTTTTTATCTCAATGCTCTCCATATTCTCACCACCTACAATTTATACTGTATGACTTCAACAACAGTTATAAAACGGGCTTGTTGGGATATCTCCAAAACTAATGCCGTGTTGTCAAAGCCAGTATCTCTTTTTAAGTTCGCTGTATCCTTGTGTCGGTAATCACAATAGGGCGAGACAGGATATTTCGCATGTGGCGCGCCCAGTCAAAGAGGACAACGTTAATAGCATGAGAAGCTTTAGATACTCATTAAAAATAAGTGGCTGCTTGTGCCAAAAATCAATCACAACCACCATGCCACCGATTTCTTTTACATAACCCGTTGGTCGAATTCCTGCTGGAAGATCGGCAAAGGAAAAAATGAAGTTGCAAAGGTCGGGAGCTATATATGGTTCACAAGTGGCAATACAGACACGGTATGATAAAAATTTATCCTCTCGAACGATGGATACACAAATATAAAAAAAAGCTTTTACTAACTTCCTTTGTTTACAATAACCTCTTTGATTTCACTTATGTGATTTAAATCAAACAACACATCAGACAATGGTTGACAGGAAGTGACGTCATGATCATACACACTTGTAAAATTTAAAAACAACAGGTTTGTTAAATTTACCTCAAGAATGGGGTCATCTGAAAATATATGATAAAATGTAGTGTTTATTTATAAAGTATGAATTGTCAGATAGCAAAAGGAATAGTGGTCTGATATGTCCTACCTGAAGGTCAATACTATAGCGAGGCACAAATCCAACGGTGTCTTTAGTCACAGCGGACTTGTTAATAACACCATAGGATTTTCAAGTTTTGGAATTAGGGAACTTATTTCATGTCTCATTGCCAAAGTTTGGTATTCATTTGATGAGGTTTATACCAACTCACATGAAGCCGGAATAACATGACCCTAGAAAAAAAGTTAGTTCGATTGGGGGTGCTATAAGGGCCGGAAACTCGACCACACACAAAAGTGGAAACAGTATGCATGTGATGTCCACTGTTAACTGTCAAGGGTGCCAACAAGCTGCGTCAACTGGTTGCTTTTGAATAGAGATGAATTTGGTTGAAATTTCATGAGGTAATTTCTACTGGTCTTTGATTGAAGGACTGTATGTGAAGAATATGAATCGTTTTACCTTGACATTTGGGAGGAATGTCTTTAAAAAGCCAGTTGTTGTGTGGTGAACAAGATATATCTAGAAGTGGACTGGTTTGATAAAAACCATCCATACAGCTGTATCCACCGACATGTATCAAACCAGAGGTGTCAGTTGTGACATCGGCACCGTAAACAAACTTAGGCTGGTCACAGTTTACTAAAAGGAGAAAAATAAGGAGACTTCACATCAAAATGTATGCTTGGTCAGGTTATAGATATGTCTGTGTTACTCAAGATGCCCTGTTTACAATTACGAATAAATGCGATGGTATTAACTTTCTCATTTATAACTTACTATCATCATGGTATCGGTAGGCTCAACCTTAGAATCGTGTATTTCAGATATTCATATTGATAATAGAATCCTTTCGTAGGATTGTAAATTAGAGATGTCTCGACAAGCTCGAAGCTATACAACTTCTTTTCTTGACAAATAGGACTCAAAACACGTGGAACAGACTAAATAAGTAAGACAAATAAAACTTGTAGCATTGATTATCCATAGTGTTTAGTCTCAGACATTCTTCAGAGTACATTGCTCTTATTCCTTAATCGTAATTTTACCTGAACTGAACAGCTAACCAGAATTTGATAATCTAGCAATGGTTGTGCTTGAGGGGGTACAAAGGAAAATGGTTTGTACCCTCAATTGTACCCCCCACAGCATTTCCAACAAATTTTAAGTAAATGACTTTTATACGTTTTTGCCCTAACATGTGTATCAGCATGTTTCTGATAATTTCTATTTTCCAAACAAAAGCGAACCCTCTCAGACGCTCCAATGCAAATCCACAGAGCTGTCGAATTTTGAATCTGCGACGGTTGTCCCCTATTAAGCCACTCTATCCCCCTTTGGTACCTCCAGTCACGAGGAGTTTTACGCCGCCACTGTTATCTAGTCTAGATATGACAAGAATACATCTAGTTCGCTCTATAATGTACATTATAATAGTGTTTTATCTGAACTGCTTTATGACGAGATAAAATATTGACACACCTGTACGAGGTCGACCATACAACTCTAATTCATGAATTGATAAAACTCCAGATTTATCTTTCATAAAGCCATGTAATGTAATCCAGTTTGCGAAAAAACAACACGGTATAGTTTCATTGACAATCAAGTCTACAGGGCTACCAACAATATCTGTATCAGCACAAATATGGTTTAACGGCAGTACTGTGGAGTCACTTTCAAAACACATCTCTACACGATCTAACTTGGGATCTGTTAAAAGACAATAACAAAGAGTATTTTTCTAGTCTCAATAGTGATTTCTGATAATTTCTACAGATTTAAGAGAAAGGGACAATAATTTCAAAAGAATAGGAATGGAATATAAAAAGAATATAAGCTAATGTTTTGTGGTCCCAAAACAACAACACTTGTTCTTGGTCAAGTCTCATGGTAGTGTGACCCATTGATTTTTCTAAAATGGAAGTCACATATTTTCATATCAATTCATCTATTGTACAGAGTTTTTTTTTGTGGGCTGATTCGATTAGGTAGTACGATTTGGTGCAATTTGGTTTAGATTAGCAGTGGTCCACAAATGCGAAATTCAAATCGGCGATTTGGCAATATGGCTGCCTCCGCTGACAACCAATGAAAGACCGCTATTTTGATTACATTAGCAACTTCTACATGCCGGCAACTTGGAAAAGCCTAATCGAATCGCCTAACCACCTCCTTCGACGATTAGGACGATAAGCCAAATCAGTTTAGGTAAAGTGGCTCACAAATGTACCGATTAGCCAGGACGGCTCACAAACGCACAAAATAGCTAATCTACCTAATCGAATCGGCCCACAAAAACGACTCATGTATCTTGCATAAAAACCTATTTCCGTTTATGCATTATCGTAAACTAAGCGAGAACCGAATTGTAAGTTTTCGCAAGAATTGTTCGAAAATATTCAGTAACTCTCTAAATGAAATTAAAGGAAACTGCAAATCTTAAAATACATAAACTGACATTAAATATTTCGTCTGTGAAAGACCTTAGGTAAAGCTTTATTGCTGATCAGATGATGTGACTATCTGAGTCTATGACAACGTGATCTATTGTTATAAACAATTTCTTACCGATAGTGTTTGGAAATCTTATTATATATCGATATACATCATAAAACTTGTCTATGTCTTCAAAAAAGGCGGCAAGAATAGGTAATTGCTGTGGCTGAAATTCGTAATATGTTGAAGTCTCTCCATCTGTTACCTTGTTTGTCACTTCGCCATAATCTGTTTGAACTTTAACTCCATGTAGTATGTTATTAACTGAAAAGACATTGATATCATACAATATCTTGGTAGCAATGGTGGTACCAGAGTGCTACAGTTGGGGTATTTGTCCCATTTTGCGCCCACCTTGCATATATATACCTATATACGTCATGTGGGACATGTATCAAGTCAGTGTGTCCCCAATCTGTACCCTAATCACCAGGAGGATACACCGCCACTACTTGGTCCACCCCACTCTATACATGTCACTTCGCAGCATTGGACACTTTGGTCATAATATCTTCAAGAACTCGAAAATCTTTATAAATTTGAAATCCTAATCATAAACATGTACCTTATGTAACCTCAACTGAAAGTCATGTAATGAGGGCTGTGGATTTTACAAATAATGTAAACACAAAAGCCGTTGTTAGCGTGCGGTGATAATTTCTCGATTATTGCCAAAAAGAAATGTTCCAAATTCTGGCTAAAAAAATTCTAAATGACGCATTTCAGAATCTGTTATGATCCCAAGTTTCATTGATGTATTGAGCTCTACCATTGATGTATTGAGCTCTACCATGGATGTATTGAGCTCTATAATTGATGTATTGAGCTCCACTTTTGATGTATTGAGCTCTACAATTGATGTATTGAGCTCTACAATTGATGTATTGACCTCTACCATTGATTTATTGAGCTCTACAATTGATGTATTGAGCTCTACCATTGATTTATTGAGCTCTACCATTGATTTATTGAGCTCTACAATTGATGTATTGAGCTCTACCATTGATGTATTGAGCTCTACCATTGATTTATTGAGCTCTACCATTGATTTTTTGAGCTCTACAATTGATGTATTGAGCTCTACAATTGGTGTATTGAGCTCTACAGTTGATTATTGAGCTCTACAGTTGATTATTGAGCTCTACAAATGATGTATTGAGCTCTACAATTGATGTATTGAGCTCTACAATTGATGTATTGAGCTCTACAATTGATGTATTGAGCTCTATAATTGAGGTATTGAGCTCTACAATTGATGTATAGAGCTCTACAATTGATGTATTGAGCTCTACAATTGATGTATTGAGCTCTACAATTGATGTATTGAGAATCTTTTGTTATTGATCCCAGGGCAGATAAATTACTAATCACAAGTTTTTATAATTATATTATTCTAAAAAAATCTCAACGGTTTTCAAACCGAAAAACAAAGGCGATTATATACACGATCTTCATGACAGAATGTTACCGGAGATGAAAATGTGAGAGCAGGATTATTGTAAAACTTTTCTTCCGGATTGCAGTATAGCTTCGATAATTAAATGAAAAAAGGAGTAATTATATAAAATGAAATAGGAGTAATTCGAACGTCACACAGAGCGTTTCAATAGACTGTGTGAAGGCCTTTCCAAAATCCCACGAGATCGACCTTTACATGAACATTTGATAGAAAATGAATCATTTTGATATTTCTAAGTCTGTTAAACTACCACCATCCCAATTTGATTTAGTTTTAAAAGAACACAGGATTTTTGCCGCTGACATGGCATATTATCCCTCAATAATTGCCCAAAATTAAAGCAAAGATTTTGTTTTAAAATAATTAGACGACAATATAAATTGACACCATATTGACACCACCATAAGTAATAAGAGACAAATTGATATCATAACCCTGACATATCATTTTTCTAATCATTTTTAATCCAATTTCGAATTCTAAGTTCTCAATTCCTGTAGTTATTAGGAATCATCATGTAGCAAACCAAGAACAAGTCCAAGAGCGGTGTACCATTATTCTTTAATGGAGTGAAAAGAAACTTTCACAAACCAGTATATTTGTGGTACTTCGCTCTGTGAAATATGGATGGCAAGGGCTGTACAGTGACTCAACAACCATTGGGACTGGTTGAACCAAGTCAAGCCCCCCTTCCCCCTCCCTCAATGCAGGAGAGCATATGTTAAGGGGATTGTAAAGAGGTTGTCCTTTTTATATGTCGGACTTTGATTATGTCACTACATTAATCGCATAAAGCATATTTTCTATTATAGACGCTATCAAACACTTAGTTTTAGTAGAATTGCAGGAACCACAGATTGAAAATTGAAATGGCGCAAATTTATGCTACCAGTGTCCCCGATACACTTATTTTTTTTTTTAGAAAAACTTCTTTACAACCCCTCTAAGAGGAGGAGCACAGACCCACTGACATGCGCGGCCCCTAATTATTTTGTTGAACCAATGGTTTTGTGTACAAGATAATCGGGGAAGAAAGGTTAGATTCTCGGAAATGTACTAGGATGGAATGAGTACTTATAACGAAATAAGAGGTGGTCTAGATCGACAGTTTTCTTCGGTTAATCCTCATTACCAGCATTGGTGCAGGAATTAGATTATCATATTCGTTATCATACTCGTCCAACTCATTATCCTACTCGCCCAATTCGTAATCATATATTTTTCTTACCAGAACATTGGAATTCATCGTTGTACAACCATCGTCCATCGTCTTGACACACAGCTGATGTTGTTACAGACGGATCTGAATTACATACGTAGGTGGCCACCGAACCTTCCAGGACAGATGCATAACTAACTGTAGCATCATAAAAATCTTTCGGTACGCCACAATGAACTGAAATAAACAATCGCAGCTCTACAGAGGAGATTGAAGTATAGCCCGACAAATCTGGTCCTAACCGTTTCTCGAACGTAATATATGATAATGATATGTGATATTGGCACGTTTAGGGGCAGAAATGAATGTATATTTTGAAAGTTGCTATGATCCATTAATCTATTGGTAGTTTTTTGAGAATTTTCCCCATTTTAGTGGCCAAATTTGGCATAATATTTGGTATCTACACAAAGCTGGACCATTTCAAGTCTTGTTTTGTATATGCAATGTTCAGAACCTTTAGGAATCTTGCCTTTTTTTTGTTTTCAATGTGGAGAATAATTTGACACCAACGGAGGCTATTAAACAAACTTACTGTCGCACGATGGGTTCATTCCAGTGTAATTACCACTTGAACAGGTTCTATTCATATCACCAAAAGTATGGATATAATTAGCAAAACATTTGTAAACTAGTCTTGTTCCCTCTTTATATGGAACACCAATGAACTTTCTGTAAGCATTTGGAACTGGATCGGGTTGCCAGCATTCCCCTGAAATGATAATCATAATTAGGATCTTGTCGCCGACCTGGATGTTAATCGCCTTCTTCATCTGTATCAGAACTACAGAGCTGAGCTGAAGATGATTGAAGTGAGAACATCATAGAACCAAGTTTTGTATCGTTCTACCCCGAGGATTCGGAAGTAGTAAAACTACACTTTGGCCTTGAATTGAAAGTTAAAAATTATCTTTTTGAGTAATAACGACAGGTTGTCAGTTTTAAAATAATTCGGGAGTAGGCAATTTATTAATGATTTCTGAGTGGACAGAAATGGTATAATGGTAAACTGATATCTAATTGAAAAAATGATCAATAAAATGAGAATGCCCCGATTGGTCAATCGGTGAACGATCTTTCATGTATTAAGTTAATAAATAGTCACGTTAAAGGAAACATCATAATATGTAAACGTACACTAAATAATATCAATTTGTTTAGCATTAATTAGGATATCGGTATGTATTAGTATTACGGTCTCTTTTGTGTCCATATTGGAAATATGATGAGTTCAAAAGGCTTCGATCAAGTGTTCAAATAGAATACATCGCCAAAGGCGGTAGAGTTTTGATCCGGAAACACCAAGAAGACCAATGTAATCAAAGACAATGACCGTACTAGTATTAAACAAACAACTAAATTAAACAAAAATACATCATTTGTTATTAAAGGTGAAGCAATGAATCAAACGTTCATAAAACTTTTGTTGATAGAACCTGATACAATCTGTTACAGACTTTTTCTTTCGTGCTTTTGCTTTGGATAGGACCAGATCAAGGAGTCGCCTGCAGAATAGCGGAAACGACATGCCTGGGTCTGCATTCAGATCAGACAAGTGATTCTCGCTTGAAGTAAACCCCGTGTAGAGCCCCGTCTAAATATTTTGCTTTCAGTTGATGGTGCTTTATTTCAGTCACTTATCGGAATGAAAATTTGATATTGAGTCGTGCGAAGATAAATACAATCGAAACGTTGACTATGATCTCCTTTGTATATGTTAGATTTCACCGATGACCGTAGCCATTTCTGCGGGTCACTTTTTGTTGAGTTGTAAACAAATCGAAAGTTTTAAGTTTTCTAAAAGGACCCAAATGAGTGAAATTTATCACTATCAACTAGTAAATTGACTGTTAAGACAAGTTAATCATTTAAGTCTATTTTAGTCCAGGAATCGGTTTCAAATATCTATCATGAATCCTGTATAATGTGAAATATATTATTATATTTGCCTTATTGGTAAATAAATTTCCTTTTTTAATATTTGTAAGTTCATATTTAAAATACATGTATACAAATTTATCTTTCGGTGATTGTACACCAAAGACGTCCAACAAATTACTCTCTGTAAAATGATAAAATATGTCTCTATCGACGACCGAATAAACAGCACGTTCTAAACTTTTAATACCTTTAAAAACCTATATAAAACGAAGTTATGAAATGCAGGACTTTTAGAATATTAAATCACCCAATATTATCAGTTTCTGTATTTTATTTTGTATGTCGGATACTATTAGTTCTCATGTGGGATGCCGATAAATTAACATTTTTAAATCCAATTACGTTCGATCCAGTAGATACAGAGATGTAAATATTATATTTTAAAACGTTGTTGAAAATAATGCATACTGTCCTTTTAATGATTCGGGTATTACATAGCAACTTAATTAATAAACAGTATTATATAACCACCATAAAATATATTTTATATAACTTTGTATTTTATTATGATTTGTATTTAAATATTAAATCATTATAATCAAATTTCATATGGTAATAATAAATAATATTGTACAACTTTCTGGAAATCCAAAAAACCAAAACGATGTCGGTCACAAAGATTTAGTCAAGCAATCCGACTGAAACTGAAGGGTTCTACTTACCCTGTAACTCTGTGATACACCACAGTAAAAGCAAGGAACGGTGCGTTATCGTAGTTGAGAGCATCGTCATAGTTCCACTTAGAGATCATATGAGATTATAAATGATTTTTCTGGATAAAAGATCACAAGATAGAATATCCTCAGCATTCCCCGTGGCAACTTTTTGTTATGGTATGAAATACAAATTGATCGGCACAAAAGACATTGTTTCTTGTTAAGTTTTAATGGAAATGCGAAGAATGAAATAATTTCTCTTCAAGAAGAGCGAAGAAAGAGAAAAGACAACAAACGATTGCCGATATGAACCATCAATAAATGGTATTTCAATTCAATAAAAAAAAGTCCTTTTCCGATGATGCTTCTGGGTACATTTAATTTAGTGTAGCCTTTTATTCCGAGTTTAAGTGGCCGAATCTGTCAGTTCTGATAGGCTGCGTTATTTTGGGTCCATCTACGCACAATGTGACTACAATAAATATACCAACTGAAACACTCGCTATATTCCAGATTGAAAAATGAAAACATCATAATTTTTTGGACTAGTGAGGGATAATTAAAACAGTGGAAACACCTTGCATGAGTACAATAGGGAAGGGACCTTAGTCTTATACATTTTTTTATTTTAAACTATCGATGCATCGTCAACAAGTACGGCATGTATAATCTTAATACAGGTTCAGGGGCAGGTTCGCCATCTGTTTGACCAATCATACCTTTTCTACAGATCACCGTCGAAATTAGAACCTTCAAATCCATGTATGTCCACAATTATAGGCGTTGAAAATTTAAAAGACGACTAGTCTTTTTCTTGAGATTCTGCCATAAATAGAAAGGTTATATATATATAGAAATAGAAAGTAAAATTTTTGTACATTTCTAGTAGTTCTACCTCCATAAATGGTAAATCTGTCCCTTTATAATCATACTTTGCAATTTTAAAATTATACTTGATCATTCCTTTATTCAGAACGTAACTCATTCACGAATTAACATGACAATACATTTTGCTATTCCATTGTAAGTATT